AACAGTTTTTCTAGCTGCTGCTGGAAAGCATTTATACATGTCTGTTAAAGATGGTTGATATTTCTTTATGAGTTAGAAATACTCCATCTTCTTGAGGCTTTAAAAATGTGTTGAATCCTCAGTACCATAAATTGAAAGTCATTTCAGAACATGCTGCTATGACTCGTCCTAGGTAAAGGAAGCTAGCAGATTTTTATGCTGTACTTGGTGGCAAGATAAAATTAAACTTTGGAAAAGCCTGTTTCTCCTCCACCTCATTTTTTGAGCTGTCTAGGTGATAATCCTAACAAATAGTGCACATTTGTATTTGCTTCAAGGGAAAAGTGCATGAAGTGCATAGCTTTCACAGCCTTTTGAGTTCTCTTGCAAAAGAATTCTGTCTCCTTGGCAACGATTAAAACTGGGGAAATTGCTCTTTGTTGGAGTCCCGTCCCCCACCCAAGCTCCAAAGTCTACCAGTGCTTGGCACTTCCCCCTTTGCATCGGTGCTGTGTTCCCATGATCTGTTAGTTTTGTTCCTTTATGCAGGGATAACTTTTGTAAAAGAAAAAAAAAAGCTTTGGGGTAACAGCACAGAATGGCCTTTCCTCTGCTGTACTGCACTTGCTTAGAACACAATTTAGAAATGATTATGTTTACAAAAAGGCCAGTGGGTCTTGAAATGTCTAAGTGTCTGCACAGGTACCGATTGCTGTGGGTTATATGTAAGATGGCCTTACTCTAGCTTTTGTTGTTACCTGCATTGTGTTTTGCATAGCACTTATCGCATTGAAATAACTATAGCAAACTTGAGTGATATTTTAATTCATTTCCCTGCTTTAATAAGATTGATTAAATTCTAGTTAAATATCTGTTAGCTCACGTCTGAGGGAAAATATACATATATATAAAATTCAATACCTATGTGAATGTATTGGTCTTGTTAATACTGTATGCTGCCAGATAGAAGTCAAGGGTACGTAGCACTTCCACATTTTGTTTCTGATCCATCATCTAGGATGCAGGATCTCTTTCTCATGCAGATTGATACATAGCCAGCATAAGCAGAGGTGTCTAACCTGGGTTTTGAAGCTGAGTAGCGTGTTGAAATCCCATGTCCTTTGTAAAGAGATGAAAAGAAATAGCTTTCTCAAAATTTAGATGCATGCTCTTAGTTTAGGATAGATGTTTCTCGCCACTTCCAAATCCCTGTCTTGAGAAAGATAGATGAAACGTTGCTGCCACCTTGAGGCTGTTAGTTTGTGTTTACATTGTGAAACTTTTAACATGCCAGTGATGCTACAGTTTAATATATTGACTCTGTTTTATTAAAGTTAATTATTCAGAGTGTGCAGAGTGGGTCAGTGAGCAGTTACAGCAGGTCTTAGCCAAAGAGACAGCCAGGGATGGGAATAGCTTTAAAGCATGATGTTTGATTGAGCCGTGTTCTCTGTAGCAGCAAAAAAGGAACAGAGGGAGGACTGTGCAGAGTGAGGACTTGCAGGAAGAGAGAGGTTGAGCAGTGAGGTCTTCTGCCATTGTTCGTTTTTATAACCCCGGGAGTGAAGGGTGCACAGAATTCCAGCATGGACTAACAGGCATGCTCTTTGTACAGTTCGTGACTCTGGTCCTTGTTCTTTGAAAGTCTACAATCCTAGTTCCAACAAATCTGCAAAGCAAACTGAAAAAAACTGTTATGCCTGGTATATTGCATTTCTTAAAATCAGACTTCCCCTTGCCCCCAGCTTGATGAAATTGTACATTCAAAAAATCTGAAGAACAGGAGATAATAGTAAATGGAGATCTTCTCTAAGAGCACTTAGAAGTTTATGCACTCAGGAGATACCCAGCTTCAAAGAACAGAAAAGTTTCTCAACATCTCATCTGCTCTTGTGTTTATGGGAGATCTTGTTTCAGTTGAAACCAAAGAAGATTTTGCATTTGCTTTCTCCAGTCTCTTTCCTACCTTCCTTCTTCTCCCTAAAGGGAGGGATAATCTGGTGTAAGTCTTTTCAGCTTTGTGGTTTTATATTAAATTGAGATTTCCATCGCAAGAGGAGAGACTTGGAGCAACTATTAAATAAAGTTAATTCACTAAATTACATTGTCTGTTGTTTCAACCAAATCCAATGATGGTGACGTTGATGGATTAGACTTCCTCAGCACAATGGCATGGAACAGGAATGCGCTGTTGAAAGCACCGTTATTGGGTGAAATTTTAAGTGTCCTTGCCTGATTTTCAATTTGAGTAGCTATGTTATATGCCTCTAGGTTTTTGGGGGGGTTGAGAGGGGAAGTTGCTAATATTTTTTATTATTATTTGTTGTAACTGACTATTGAAGTGACTTTTTTTTTATACCCCAGAAGAGTTCTGAGGTGTAGTTTTCATGAGCAATTTCATAGCAGCAGTGAACTAAGTAGTCATTGCCGCTTTGCCTCTGGCAGCTCGCTGTGCTTGCACACCTTGGTAGGGGGGGTGTGCCTGTACAGAACTTAGTACCCCACAGTCCCTTAGTACAGGCCTGTGGTAAACTGAATAAGAGAATAGATATAACCTCCACCCCGCAAAAAAAAAAAACCCAAAACTTTTGGTTTTTTCCTGCCAGATTTGTTCCCTGCTCTGATTCACTACACGATAGTATAAATAACGGTTCTGGCACAGTGGAAAGGGCAGTACAGGGCAGGGATGAGCACGGATGGCTGAGGCAGCCTAAGCAGCATGGCTCAGGCATCATTGCAATGATGGAATGTATTACTGCAGAACAGACCTGATCCACCTTTCATCTGTGGTGTGAGAATGACGAAGTTATCATCAGGAAATCTCTCACAAGCCTAATATTTAATTAAAAACACTCTTTTGTTAGCATCCTCCTGCCTGTTAATTCTTGTGAGTATGTTTCGTAGACAGCTTCTCTTGGTATTTTTTCCTCTGTCTCCAGCTGAAGTTACACCATGGCTTCCTCTTT